GACGAACTGGCTTTCCAGGTGCCCAAACAATTCAGACACGGCCCGATGGGACGCAGGGTGCCGGTCGGACATCGCAAGGACAACGTGGAGTCTGTACGGAGGTTGTGGCACCGGAGCCTCATCGGGATTGGCCCCTATTGGGAATTGAAGGCCGTCACAGTTGGGGCCTAAGCTGCCTAAGTGCACCAGCCAAGACTTGGCAAACCTTCAGAGCAAGAGTGGTGACGAGTTTGTTGCTGTCAGACTATCCCACAACTCCACACAACCATAACGCTTCTGTTCTAGGCCATTGCAATATTCATTGCAATATATTGCAACTGGTCTAGCTGCTGAACTGTGGATCTGGTGCCGCCACAGCAATAAAAGGCTCTTGGCCCGGCCCAGCCAACGATCATCAAACATTACAGTACTTCCCGTTGACGTTTGAGTTCTTTGAACCAGGCATCCTCAGCCAGTGTTGACAAAAATACACACACCCGCATGCTTGCATGCTGCGTCTCACATATGTTCTCTAAAGCACGGCCAGGCCCACATACACGGGAGAGATCCTCAACTTCTCAGTGACCCTCCAGCAGGACGTCTGCCACGCAGCGCGCAGGCGAGTGCGATCGCATAGTCGAGGCACCATTGGTCAGCCGGAAACCAAAGCTTGGAAGAGGAACCGTAGGAACGCATCCCAAGTCTGATCTAATGTACTGTACCGGCTGAAATAACAGCGAACTGAGAAATGCCGAGCCATGCCGAGCCCAAACCAATTCTTCTTTACCTTGCACGTGAACTTAGTGGATCACTGAGTCACCACATAATATGTACAGCTCGAAGAATCAGAAAATATTGTTTCTAATAGCTTCTTGTTACTACTAGTAAGGCACTTGTTACTACTAGTAAGGCACTTGTTACTACATATAAATATAGGTATCCTTCAAAATTGGGATCTAAAATTGATATATATTAAACATGTGGTCCCACGCGAACCTATGTACCACAAACATCCGCAAACCACTGATTCTCATGCCAACCACCCTGACACCCCGCCTCGGACCAAAATCCGAGCTCCCAAGGGTTGAACTCGTGGGCTCTCCATGTCCTCTGCACAGAGCTCTATGGCGAGCCCTCTAGTGGCGCAGACCTTTCTTCCTTCTAATGTTTCTTTTGTTTCTAATAGCAATGGCCTCCAACCAGAGCAATGGCCTCCAACATAAAAGCGATGGCCTCCAACCTAATAGCAACCTATAGTGATCCTCAACTCACTCACACATTGCAAACATTTGCAAACGATGCGTCTGCGCAACTTGTGTATTGAAGGAGATCCACGAAACAGTTGTTGTATCCAAATATTCCGAAACCATTGGATGAGGGCATCTGGAGGACGACCACCCCCCCACGGCTACATCTTCAGGACATCGACTGAGACAGGCTGTGAAGAATTTAACCGATCTCAGGGTGCAAAAACCATCCATCCGTCCGTCCGTCCGTCCGTCCGTCCGTCCGTCTCTCTCTCTCTCTCTCTCTCTGGAGAATGGATTTCAATCGAGTGGTTGGTTTTGACCCACAGCATATCCCCGCAATTGGACCAAGGTGATAGTCTACTCTCTGTCAACAGGAAAAGTGGAACATCTCTTGGTGGAGTCGACTCAGCAGAGTTCTCCTCTGCACGCAGCACTGGAGAACCGGGGCACTGGAGAGGAAGATCCGTGGCCTTCATGGCACACAATGGGAAGGCATCCCTAGGGCTCCACCGATGGTACTTTAGCTACTATAGGTACTAGAAAACAGAAGGTAAGGTGGGCGTGTTCTAAGATGTTCTCACTATCTTCTGAGCAGTTGGAGCCCGATCAGATCGCTTGACGCCGGGATTGGTGAATATCTCTTCACGTGAGGAATTGGACTGACAGCCAAATGGGACAATTGGCATAACACATTTTGTTAAAATGGGACAATTAGCCTAGAACAAATCACATGCACCTAAGTTAGAGACCTAACTATGTCTGACAGTATCAGCCCTACCCCACCGTTCTACAAGTTCAGTTTGCAGCGGATCAGGGGCAGTCGCAAGTTGGTTCGTGACCACTTGTGAATGTGATTCCTGGATGACACCATCAAATAACAAACCAATTCCACTTCAATTGAATCTTACTCGATAAATTCTGCTGCGACGACCAGGGTTTCAGGTCGGTTCTCCAAATGGGTTTAAGTTATGTTTGCTGTGGGAGATTCAGAATAATCTCCTTTGTATCCCCCTTCAGATCTTCAAGACTAGTGAGTAAGATTTCTATGTATATATAATTCATATCTATTATATATTGTGGTTTCCAAATCCTTTGTATAATCCACCTTTGGGATTTGAGCCATTCGAGTCTTCTGAGGTGTTGTTCAGTCCCATATTGACCGCACCGTCGCCTTCTCCTTGGCCTCCTTAGCCTCTGCCTCATGGGCCTCCGCTCCAGTCACAGCATCAGCCAAATGTGTGGTGGGACATGAAGCTACCTCCCGGGCGGAATGGTGAAAGTCTCCGACCTCCACTGTTTGGGCTCCTTTAGGAAATGGCATGTGATGGGGAAAGGCTGATCCATATGTATATATATATATATATGTACAATGTGCACATTGCAATAAACCTCCAACAGCTGGAAAAAGAGGTAAAATTATTGCATAGTTGAGAAGGAAGTTGCATAATTATTGTGCAGGAGAAAGTTTGGTTGATGATTGCAACCTAGGAGACAGTATAATAATTGTCTGGGTCGTTTAAAAGTGTTTAAACATGACACCTACTGTATTGATAAAATAACATATGTTTATTGACAGTAGTCTACATAGTTGAATGTCTTTATTGGTGGATAAATTTGGTTTATATCTGACTCGCTGTCTATTATACAACCAATTGAAAAGGCAGGTTTGTTATTGACAGTAGTTTATTATTGTATGAGTTCGGTGGAAGGGAGTGTCCGAGGTTTATAGTTGACTGGTGGTTTATCATAATTGTGATGTGAACATTCTATATACATAGTTACAGCAATATAGAAATATATGTTCCTTGGGACTTGTAAGAATAATGAGAATTGACATGCACAAGCACAAGAGTCCCAAGATGTCCCAAGAGGTGTTGCACGGTTGATCTAGAACAAACACATTCAGCACACTGGACCAACATGTCAACCCATGTTATGAACAAAGTCTACTGTTTAATGTGGTCATAACACACACCTGTCCAACTTACCAATGTCTATTTCATTTAGCAACAACCATGATATCCCCCTAATATCCAACCCAAGTTTAGGAGCTTATGCTATTGACATCTATTGACCCTCCCCCCCACTTGTTGGCATCACCTTTCCTTTCCCCATATCCGATGTCACCATCGTGTCACCGTCTCCTGGGCCACATTCAGTAGGCGTTGTTCTTCCTCCCGCACCTGCGAGTCATGGAATCCATTGCGAGTGGCCCAAAATCTGCAAACATCCGTGGAGAAGCTAGTAGAAACAAGTGCCACGCTACTAGGAACAAGTGCCTTACTAGTAGTAACAAGAAGCTATTAGAAGTACTGTAAATTAAGATTAAATTAAATTAACTACTAGCTTCTTGTTACTACTAGTAAGGCACCTGTTACTACTAGCGTGGCACTTGTTTCTACTAGCTTCTTGTTACTACTAGTAAGGCACTTGTTACTAGTAGCGATGCACTTGTTACTAGTAGCTTCTTGTTCCTAGTAAGCTAAACTGTGCGCCTTGAGGCGTTTGCTGGTGCAAATAACTTTTGATCGGTTGCAAGTTATCGGTCCGTAGAAGTTTATACAACTGCAGGATATGAACTTCTGGGATGAAACATCGTGGTATTCTCCACTTGCCCAGAAGTTCATTAACTTGGACATATAACATTTTGGTTATTGGTCTTTAAACTTCAGATCTAAATTTGCCAACATTTGTCTTATATTGTCTTGACCTCGACCTATAATCTCTTTGGAGTTTAGCTCCAGAAATAGCTTTCACCTAGCTAACCTTAGAAGACCTAGGAAGTGGCTAGTTCGGGCTTGGCTAAGTCAAAGCTAAGTCAGCTAACTCTCTAGCTGGGATTTATGAGTCCGAGCAAAGTCCTGTGCCAAGTGCTAAGTCCAGGCTGCAGTAAGTCAAAGCTGAGTCCCAGCCTTGTGCAAAACACGTTTTTGCATGTTTTTGCGCATGGAAGCGATGTTAAAAGCACGCCTGTTGAATTCAATCCACCCGAGTCCCGAGTAAGTGTATGTTTTGTTTGCGCTTGCAACAAGTTCTCAAAAGAGCCAACACGTTTGCGCCCACGGGCGGCATGGCTTTACAGGAATTCCAAAACCTCGAGTACTACTTGACAGAGAACTTGGTGCGCGATGTGTCGCAGAACGGCGCCCTGAAAAGCAGCGTCCAAAAAAAACAAACGCTGTATGTCTATGGGCCATGGACGACGAATTAGTCCACTTACAAGTCCGAGCCAAGTCCTTTGCTAAGTTCAAGCTGAGTACTTGTTAGCGTCAGTTAGATTACTGTACTAACTGTTACTAGCCAACCTTCTGGTAAGTATCTAAGGTGCTCACCAGTGCTCACCATTCACCTTGAAGCCGAATCAACAAACAGTGGTCACCCGGACACCCGGTGCTCACTATCGCGCTTGTCCACTTCTGCGCTTCTCCATGACCATGACCATGACTCGTGTGGGCGCATGGGAGACAGCTAGTTTACTAGAAGTGAGCAGCTCATGCCATTGTCTTGATTCCATTCGCTGCAATTCTTGGTGTTTCACAAGAAGAGGCTTCTAAGGCGAAAGTCATTCCACCCACAAAGAATAAATACAGGAATCACAAATCACAGCACCTAATCTAATCGACCTAATTCAGCAATGATTAGACCTTGCTGCTTTTTTCACAAGGTTTCTTTTCAGTGAACTTACCGTCACATTTATCCCTAACCAAACATAGTCGGCGATGTTGACATGGATTCTGAGCATCTCTCCTTTTCATTCCAAACAAACTGTTTTCACCGATCTGCTCTGACCTTGGACAGCTGCTGCCGCAAGTCGTGCAGCTCCTGGACTGGACCGGGCCACACAGTGGCGAGCCAAGAGGAGCCCCCAGTGGAGGAACATGAAAAATCACCAAACTGTCTCCTGGATGAATTGAGACAACCTGAACTTGCCAAAGCAATCGGGACGTAAGCTGTAAAAAATGTGCCAAACAGTAATACATGCAAAGACCACATGGTGCTCCTTGATCAGCTTGATGAATCCCGAACCAAAGAGAACCGCACTAAAGGCTGATGAGTGGGCAAAAATGCAACACACTGCGTGACTTCACAAACTGGATTCCTTGACTGAATACTCCTTGACTGAATGAATGAGTTGGAATCTCCTATCATCTGCGACGGCTCCGCAGTGAACACCCAACCAATACACTAACAGAAAAGCTCTGTGACAATTTGCTGAAACCAGAAAACATGATCCTTTCGCAGCATATGTTCAATGATCCTTTTCACTTTGGTCCCTTCTGGCGCTTCTGGTCTCTTGGTCCTTCTCTTTCTCAATGATCTGCGACTCCAGTTCCAAGGCTTTTTTCGCCTCACGGGGCCATTGGCATCTTGTGGTCTAAGCGAGGAAAAAAACCCCTTTGTAGGATTGTGGTTTCATGTGCTATGTGCATATTATATATGTAGATATGATATGTATACATATATACAGTACGTATATACATATAGCAAACCTGGGATGCTGTTGATGCTTCCCTTTGCCCGTGTTATGTTATTGCAGAAAGAAAACAACTGTTCAACGGCGAGCGGCACTTCCCCTGCCAGGTGTTTCATCTTGCCAGCGCTCTAGACTTTGCTTCTTCCAAACAAATGGTTGACCAATGTTGACCACCTGAATTTCAGTAAATTTCTCGAAGGTCGTGATAAGAAGTCTCTGAACCAGATTGTCCAGTGCCATGATTGCCAATCCAAATGCGGATGTCGTCCAAAGCTTAATATGCTCAATGCATTCACCATCAGATCCACTAGTCCAACCAACACCTTCACTCCGAACAGGAGACTTCCTCCCAACACTTGGACGGCCCTTCTTCGAGTCGCACCGCCCGCGCCTGCCGGTTCGCCGACTTCCGCAGTTCTTTGGCCGCCTTGCGCTCCACTGTCGTGGATCTCTCAGATCTCTCAGGTGACTGGTGGGATCTGGTGGGGTTTGGGCCGAAATCGCCATGGATGTCGTTACATTTTGTGGCCAGCATCTATGTTTCGGATTTAGGCTAGTTCTGAGGCTTGATTGATATCTACAAGAGGTTGGCTACTCTGTTTCGTCCTTTCCCAAGTAAACCAATGATGTCCATGCATCAATTGGACGATAAAGTGCCACAGGCCAGAGAGTCTGTGTCTCGATTGGATGGTTCGGAACCACACCAAAAGAGTCCTACAACACTGTCGCTGCACGACTGTTGTACAAGAGTGCCCCACAAGAGTGTTCTCCAAAGGCGTCGCACAACAGAGTGTCCAGCAAGAGCTTTTTGCAAGGGTTACCCACAAGAGTCAGCCCTACAAGAGTTTTCCAGAAGAGTGTCCCAGAAGAGTATTCCACAAGAGTGTCAAGCAAAAGTCTCGCACAAACGTGTCCTGCAGGAGAATTACATAGAATTACAAGAGAGTGTTACCCGAGAAAGGCCGTCTTTGGAGAGTGCCACGCAAGATGCCGCAAGAGTGTCAACCGATGCTTGGCCATTTGAGTAGGGGTACATGTTTGCGTTCGGGTTCGTGGGCTAGCAGTTGTTCTCTTTTTTACATGTCCTCTTGCCAGAAACACACCTAGACACCTTGTGATGCATACAGTGAGTGTTTGTTGGGCACCAATAGTTTACTGAGGTAAAAACAGGTGCTGGGGCCTTGACAGCTCCTAGTTCAGCCGCGTCTTGAAAACATTGCCCTTCCCTGATGACATTTGTGGACGCATTTTATTGAGGATGCTTTGCCTCTCTATCACAAAACAGAACCAAAGCATCACAAACAAGTCTAGCCGAGGCAAAGTAGAACTTAGATCTGACCTCCCCGACATCATGGCGACTAAGCCTTCAAAAGGCCAAGTAGATAATTCACTAGACTATATAATACTACAGTATATGAAGCTGCATGTCCCCAGGCTCAAGGGTTCAACTCCAAGTCGGACTTCAAGTCAATACTATATAACAATTCACTAGATCAATCCCCTCAGAGCCCTTACCATGAATCATCTTGAACGAGGTACTGTGCCATCTCTGGCAAAGCCATCGCTTTGTGTCTTGGTCAAGGTCTATGCCTTTAGACCATTTCAAACACAGTAGTGAATAACGGAACTTAATGATAAGTACAGTTGCTACAGAAGAAGAATGTACGCACTGTTAATAGGCTGAGTGGCCTCCCAGTTGAGATTCGGTGACTAGGATCACAAGGTGGATATCATGAGTCAACCAGTAGTACTGCACTTAGCTACTAGTAGCTTCTTAGTTACTAGTAGTAATGGCCTCCAACCTCCTAGCGATGGCCTCCAAGCTAATAGCTTCTAGCTACCAATTCTACCACAAAGGATAAACCGTGATAAACTCTCCTCTCATGCGCGACATGCTGCCTTCGCTTGTCGTTTCGATCTTGTTTCGTCTGGGTGACCACACGACTGAGCTTTCGGAGGCTTTGGTGGAGTCGGTCAAGCTCTTCCGCATTGCCTGGCTTAGCACACGGCCACCTAATAATGAGTGTATATTTACAACTTCTGGGGGACAAAATGTCTAGGGCACACCGAAACTGGGAGCTTGTCCATCAAGTAATGTTGATGATTCTTCTCCAAGGAATTCTTAACAAAGGGAGACCTTATGGGATCAACTCTCGGCTAAAATCTAAATGGATAATCTGTTAGCAACGAAATGCAACGGACAAACACTTAGAACAGCGTTGATCCATTGAACACCAGTTGGTCGCGGGGTGTTCGAAGTATGACCCTCCGAGAGGCTTGGAATATATACGGGAAACCCAAACTTAGGGAATCAATGAAATTCACTCAGAACATCGGCTCAAGATGCTCCAGGTATCTCATAAATATGTTATGAGTTATGAGTGTTTGTGCCGGGCCTTGGAAAGAAACTCTGCTACAAAAGGCTACAAAGCCTGCCGGGCCAGGATCAAACCTTCCCGACTGGTTTCAGTCCAAATGTGAGACAAATCATACCCCCACAGGGCACACATAAGTTCCAGGTCTTTTGTGGAGACAACTCCCGACTTGGATTAAGGTTCCTAGTTTGTCCTAGTTTGGATTAAGGTTCCGGGTCCAGAAGTCATTGAGCTTCTGGAGATTTGCTGTTGTCCTCAGCAACTGCTTGTGGCATTGCTCTGCAACCTTGGTCCTCTGCAACCCCAAGCAATTCCCTGTCCTCACCCGATCCAAGGCTAATGCTCTTGCTGTTCCAGTCATTTTTATGCTTGCCAGCGTGCTCCAACAGCCTCTGGAAGAAGCTGCATGAGGAAAAAAAACAAGCACACATGTCACATATCGCTTGTCACAAAAGCAAACATGTGCGCATTCAAAACTTAATTAGCCAGCCAGCCAGCTTGAATGGACTTGCATCATTAGCTACATAGGACAAGGAATCAACAAAAAGACAACATGGAGATCGAGATTGCAAGACCATCACCACAGCCTCTATATCTACTTTCTTGGAAGAAAGTTTGGCGTGCAGCGTTCTGCACTCTGTCTTCACAATCGATGGTTCACTTTGCATGGAGATGGTTGAAAAGCCTGTCGGACGTTCAGATCGCCACAATTCTGCGACAAGAGACTCCACAGGAGGTGTTGGACGCTTGGACAAAATCCTGTGCCACCCAACCACTCTGCAAATTCTTATGGGCAAAAGGACGTCCATGTCTTTCACAGAATGCACGATTTTGTCCACCAACTGTGTTGCTGTGAAACTCACTGACTGGGACCAAACCGGATTGATTTCAGCACCCAGCAGACTTCGTTCGAGCGTCGAAAATCGGCATTTCCGCCTTTAAATCTTGCTCGGTTCGGCACATTCTCCCCAAATCTGTTCATTTCATCAGATCTATTATCCCATCGACTGACGCAGCAGGGAGTTTGTGCCAACCTTCCGTTCTAAAACTTAAACTTGGATCCTTGAGATGCCCTGCCAGCCTCACATCACACTGGCCCGCGTCCTCTCCACCAAGTCTTTGAGCACCGCTTTAAAGCTGTCCTGGACTTGTTTACAATTCTGGATCACTTCCTTAGCAGAATTGAGAACACGGAGGTGTCTTGGAACCATCAAAAAGCAAAGCATTGACCGGACGAAGCCCAAAAGATGAAGCACATTTCATGGTCCTTGGGTGTTCCCTCAATGCTACATCATACTACTACATGGTTTCATCCGGGACACATGAGACAAGAATTGACATACAAACCTCTATGGATGTCCCCTAACAAAGAACCAAACATAAGTAATTGCGTATTTCTTCTGGATCTAAGACCGATAACTGGGCCATGGGGATCAAATGTCCTCATCCCATTAGATCATTAATCTATAAAACAGGCCCGTCCACTCCACCCAAGACTTACCCCTCGTCCCGCGTCACCTGGTTCTCTTCTTGGACAGTCAAAGCTTCAAACAAACGCCCCAGGCTAAACGCTCGCAGCGATTTCATCGTCGACAGAGTCTTCCGACCAGGTTGGGCCCCTCCCAGGAGTCGAATGCGACGCTGCACGACAGCCATCAGGAGCTGGGTGTGTTGGTGGCACTGAGAGCTCTTCCTCCGGATATACCTTGCATTTCCAGCAAAAGGACGAAGGAAAGTAAGGGTGCGAAGCACTCCATCTTGCACCTACAATCCTTTAAACAGTTTGAAGCACCTAGTTGATTGCAGGTTCTTTCGCACGAATCGTTAATTGAGGAAAATCTAAACCAATACACCAAGAGTTCAAAGAAGACTCCTTTCATCTCTTTTCCGGAGAAGGTGCCACAGGACCACGGATAAAGCCATGGCTTCATCCAAGCAGTCCATGAAGTGTCTCTCGTTCTTGCACAGCTTTCGCTTCGGCTGTGTGTGTTCCAAGTGGCCTTGGAGTTTAGTGAGAGTCCTGGGGAAAGGAATTCCTCAAGTGGTCTTGCCCGCGCTGCCCAATACCAATATTTGCAAGGGGCATTCTCATTGGTGAAACATGGTGAAACCATTTCCATCCATTGCCCAAAATTCCACACCCCTTGTCCCACATGTCTGGCCATCCCACGTGTCTTGTCCACTCTTCATTTCCGGTGGGTCTTCCCTTCAGAGTTTGGGATGTTGGGGAAAGCAATGGGAAATGAGAAACAAATTATATGCAAACAAAAAAATCATCTAATCAATGTCCCAAGTGGCAAAACTCGCACCAAGCAGCCTTTACACACTTTCCATGTAAGGCATGCACACATGGGGCTGCACAGAACCACGGATGTCCCTTGCTACCCAACGATATTGGAGCTTCCTGAGAGCATTGTCCCAAACGCGAACGCTGTGGAATCCCGTGTGAGAAACTCACCTGACGGTCAAACAAATGGGTCCAAAACCACCTCCACCGTTGGTTGTCCTTCTGGTCCCTTTCAGCTTTGGACATGATTTCAAGGCATCCTTTCTAGTTACTAGTTTTCAACTGGATACTGGATACGGAAGATATTCTAAGACTGGACAGTTCCAGGTGAAACACTGTCTTGCCTGTTGACCGAAACACATCATTAAAATCCCAGCTTGTGGGCTCACCTTTCTCAAAGATTTGCCTGACACGTGAGCAAAACAAAACAAGACAGACTGATGCAAGTTTGAACAATCAATATATATATATATACATATATATATATATATATATTATATTCGGAAGTCTTCCCAGACCAAACAATACCGTGTGAACCCAGCGCCAATATGCGCCATTTGCATCTGCTCAGTCCACGGGCGATGTCCACAGGTCGATCTAATGCGATACCCACCGGCAATGGCCTGCTACCACCGTACCGATCGGATCGGTTTACAAGACTCTATTGCAAGTCTTCAAATTCTTCAATATCTATGTAATTTGCACTGGTTTGGAGCAATTCCAATAGATCAGTTTCACAACAGCAATTGCTTCACCGATCAATCCATATTATATATACAGTGACAGTAACTGAAAATGACATCCAATATCCCACTGCATGCCAAGGCTCTGTCTTCCAAGAGAATGAATCAGCAGCAGCGCGCAAGAGCCAATCCAAGCGCTCTTCCTCAGAGGAAGACTCTAATGGATCTCTAATGGGTTATGTCAGGCGTGTCAAGGTGGATCCCACCAGGTTCTCTTCAGCAAAACTTGCCAAGTCCCATGATCCGTTTAGCAAAGACACCTCAAGTTACCAATCTCACGTCCTAGTCACGGTTCTAGGAGTCTTCAGATTCTCTCCACATGCTAGACAGGGACATACAGGGACATTCAAGAATTATCAACTGCTTGCCTGCAAGGCTGATGATCTTGCACAGTGGGATCCACATATCACCAGAGATATCCACAGGTCCACTTCTTCGAGTGGTACCCATTATCTTTGAACGATCGACTTCGATGGTTGGCAAACCAAGGAGGCCCGCGTCGGCAAACAATCATTAGGTCCGCCCATCTGACCTCACCCTATCATCCCGTGCGCAACTTCATCGAGCATCTGACCTCACCCTTGGCGTCTCACTCTGTGATCTACGCCTCGAGTGGGAATGATCCTCCACAAAGTGGAGGAAGGTTCCTCGGCACCTTGACAGGTCGGGTTGGACCCGAGCCCTTCAAGAAAGTGGCACGTCAGTGCAGGTATTGGCACTTAGAGCTTAGAACTAGAAAGAAGGATCCGTTTGGATCTGTTGTTTCATCATGTTTCATCATTCCGAGCTCCCAATTCAACATGTATAGGATATAAGTCAGAAGCTCTGACAGGCTTGAATGGCATACAGTCCGAGGCTCCGGAAGGCGTACAAGCAAACTGCTCATATCTTCTACTGGCCGCTTCTGGGAGACAAGACTAGATCGCTAGATAAAAATGCATCGTGCACTCTTCCTTTTTGCCAAGGTCTTTGAAGGTTCCCTGTCTTGATCCTAACCAAAAGAATCAATGCCCAAGAGTTTTGTTTTGTTCAGAACTCGACCGCCTAACACACGTTGGTTTCTAATTGCGGCCCAAGGCGCTGGAGAGTCATGCGGAGTTGGGCGTTCGGATCATGAAAACTTCACAAAACGGCTATCGTGGCATCGCCCATCTGGGCATCCAAAGGCTTCAATCCGATCCCCCAAAACCCGAGCAACCAGGAACCAGGTCAGGCATATCACGCACTCTGCAGTTCCGCACTCAGAAGCCCCTCCGGTACTGGTGGTTTTGATTGTTTTGACATCGTCCTGACACCCCATGATCCTCAAGTTGCCTTCGTCCATGTGTGGTGCTCTTTCCATGCACCTGCATGGGCACCTGCATGAAAGATCTGCTTCCCAAAGAAGAGTCCCTTTGGTGGTTTTCAGCACCCTCTCATCAGCCAGCTATGGAAAACACATGAAAACACTCTTTTGTTCAATCTTTTTCCAGGTTCCACCAAACTTACCCGTCATTGATGCTTCCATCTCAAGCTAATTTAAAGAGTTGCAACAACCTTGACAACGGTCAAAAAGCAACATCTATCGATAATAATAATAACAATATGGGTGTGGGAACGCATGCACTAAACGGATTCGGGGAAGCGCTAATGGTCTCAAAAGAAACTGGAAAAGGTAGAAGTGATGTTGCTGATCAGCAATTTCCAGCTCGCAACAGCACAATGCACAGGATTCAGTCCTCCCAAATACGAAGTTGGAGCCAGTTGATTTTATGTTTCTTGTTTTCAGTCCTAAACAAGGCCTTCTGTCTGAAACACCGGCACCAACTGAACACCAAAATTGGTTGTCAATGCAGGTTCTTCCAATTCACAAATGCATACATATAGTTTGACCAATCCTGAACAAAATAGCCTAAGGGCCTTGGGTCTTCCTTGACCATGCCTAGCAGAAAACAACAATAATTAATCAAATACAACGAGTTAAGAGTTCTTCTTGCCTTATGAGTACTCAGACTCCTTCGACATCACACATCATCTCTGCGGTCCACCGCCACTCCGGCCTGGCTGGTGGTCCGCGCTCGCAGGAAGCCGCTGCCGCCCGACGGGGTCACGTCCTTCACCGCTGCCTTCAGCAATGCACGCAGCTCTGCACTCCTCGTGGATCGGCGCGGTGAGACGACAACTTAAAACTTAACCCGTGCACAGCGATAATTATGTTAAAATGTGTGAAAATTCTTATGACATGTGGTGAAACAAGACATGTAAGTTCTTGGAGTCGCCTGTCCATGAAGCCCAAATACATTCTAAGAAGGACTTGGGGTCAGGATGGGTCAGGTCTCAGTACTTTCCAACATCTTGACTAAGGCCAACATACATTAGAAACAATAATCTACTAGGAACAAGTGCATCGCTACTAGGAGCAAGGGCCTTACTAGTAGTAACAAGAAGCTGTTAGTAACAAGAAGATCCTTCAGGACGACTTCCGACCCTTCGCCACGGTTGGCAGCCCCCGTCTCACCGTGTCACTTCCACAGGCCGATCGCCGAAGAAGGTGGGCTTCTCCTGTGACCGGTTTTTTCTTCCAATTCGTCCGAAAACGGAGTTCGGCAAAACGGTCAAAACATGTCAAAACCATTCAAAACCAAAGACTTCGGCCACGGAAAACCGGAACACGGGGCTACACGGCACCTTTTCACCGATACGGCCACAAAAAGCCTAGTGGGTCCCTCAAGAGTCAATGCTACGGTTGGTTTGCACGTGGATCCCTTCTGAGTTGGGTGTGGCCTGGAGTTGATAGTCTCTGTTTCTGGTTCTGGTCAAGAGGATGGGCAGTATACATATATATATAATATATATAATATACACAATCCTGTTTCCTTTATGAGGTTCACTGGGCACAAGACATTGCCAACACAGCTGATTGAGGCTGGTTGGCAGGCATCGCAGTGGCCATTGATGAGCAGTCACAAATATCAACCAAACATTCAGCAACATATTGACTCTCTGAACTCGAAGGTACTTATGCAACCGCTGGCTGATACCCCAACAAAGGTCAAACAGCAGGATGGTTGTTCAAAAATATATTGTCCTCATCCTCCTGAGCCGTCTTTGACTTCTTCCGCGGCGACTCATCTGCCTCGGCTGCTGTTTCTTTGGGTCTTCCTGCTTCTGTCGGGGGATGACAGAGTTTTGGCTAGCACAGACATGAACATGTCAGGGCTTGACTGAAGAGCTTGTCAGTTTACTTCATTCAAGTGTCTATCACCTACTAGCAGCAAGGACGCTACTAGGGGCTCCTGGCCTTACTGCTAGGAGCAAGAAGCTACTAGGGGCTCCTGGCATCGCTACTAGGAACAAGGACGCTACTAGGGGCATCTACATCACACTATTCCAAAACAGCAGGTCAATTGCACATCGTTGCACCACACCCGTGTCATTTGCACTGTTTTCGTGGTGGGGTTGAGTCACGGTGAGTCCAGCATCATGGCTTTAATATGCTTTAATATTTAATCTCCTTGCTGGTATCTGGTACCCAAGGTCACAGGAGGCTCCTCATGAGTTGACACCCACCAAACTTGTGTGGGTCGTCGAACCAAATCCAAACGGCATCAAACGGCTGTGACCCAAGAGCTTTCCGCATCTTTGCAGCTGCTCATTTCAATCCAAGCTGCAGGGGAATGTCTCAAAAATGGAGGGTGGGTTGATGCCAGGATGTCCGAAAGCTTTCCCACCAATGCACAGATTTCGATTACGCTTCCCAGTGAGGTAAAATATGCTTTCAGACGTGATTTTGCAATTACAGCGGCCTTTTGACCTGTGGGTATCCAAGATCACAAGCTGACCGCAAGTTGTACATCACCGGCCCAGATTGACGACCACAATTGACCATAGTTGCCACATATTTGCCACATATGTATGTATGCTAATATTTCTTCCAAACCTACCAACAAAAGGTCAAGCTCGTTGGCCTTGGGTCCCCAACCTCCTTCTCGCCTTTGATGCTCTTTTTCTTCCGCGGCGACTCCTCTGAGCTGCCGAAGGTCTTCTCCTGCGATTGGAAACAATGAAGAAAGGACAGGGGGAGATAAACCCCACATGAGGATCATGAGGGCGCGATTAAGCTGGAAGATTGGGTTGCCAAGTCTTCATATTTTAAAGGAAGGAATCACCCTTCATAGAGCCTTCAACAGCGTATGTGGTTGACCTGGGTCCTGGTATGTTCTGGTGAGACTTTCTGCTTTCAACGCTTCCATCTATCTTCTCATCCTTGTATTTTTTGTCCTGTGATTGGTGAGACTAGGATGACCGGCGGCCCCTCCTTCCAGCTGGTCCCTTGAAGAATGTGTAGCGATCCGCTCCAGCTTTCATCCTCACACGACATCGTTCGGTCTATCACGTGCAGTCACGGTGTTCGCTTTGGGGACCTTTCGTTGGCGGGAACAGGATTCGCTTGGCAAATGCTTGGCCCAAAGCGGACTCAAGGCCGAAGCCCTACAGATTTGGGGAGCACCCGCATGGTTGACCGTCACAGTCGAGTCGTAGGTATGATTCCATGGTCCGCGTCCCACTGAAGCCAGGCCAATCAGTTAGACAGTTAGACCATGAAACATCGAGTACACCTGTAGAGTGGATATGACTGGTGTGTGTACGCCTAGGCATTACAGGGCCAATGTGCATGAGAAGTGAATGCGTGAGATCTTTGGTTGAGCACGTCCTGAGGATGCTTTTTGGGCTTTTTCCTTGAGGACAGTATCAAGGAAGATTCTTTTAAACTTGTAGCTCTTTAATCAATATTTAGAACTATTCAGGCATTCTCACGAGTACTACTTTTGGCACAACAGCAACAATCGGATTGGAGGATGCTACACATCAGTCCTTCTGCACCTTCACTAGTACTTTGCAACATGAGCATCTATATAGGTTGGAGGCCATCGCTACTGGGTTGGAGGCTGAGGCCATCACTCTTAACAGATTTAGTCGATTCAAACAGGCTAATCCAGGTCTCTTCAACCCGGCATCTCTCATCACCCAGAGACCCAGGGTTTGGGACTGTCTGTATTCAAAGGTACACGAGTTCCGAATCGACCCAAACAACGTGCCTCTAACTGGCTGGTCAGGCTGTTCAACTGATCCTTTGCAAATCACAAAGCGCATGGCAAATCTGGCACTGACCAGGCAGAGTCAAAAATTGTAACTTGTGTCCAAACGCATCCAGCACACGTATGTGACTCTGGTGTCTTTGGAGTTGCGCCTGGGGCTTCTCCTGTTCCAATTAAGGAATCTCGGAATTACTAAAGTCAGAACAGTCTTCGGGGCAAAAGCTGAAGCAAAACAATCCGGCCTACAAATTGCTCCAAACTCTTTCGGTACCATGAAGCAAACGCTGACCAATCAATCCCCATGAAACATGAGTCCCTGCAACTGCGGACTCCTCCGGGCAGTTCTTGGAGTATTTCCACATTGCCGCCGCCATCACCAGTGGACCCAGGACCTCACCCCGGCCCCGTCTGTCCCACGCCACCCAAACGAGTTTGGCAGCACACAGGAGACGCAGAAAAGGAACCAGGGTGCTTCTTGTTCCCAGTAGTAAGGCCAGGAGCCCCTAGTAGCGTCCTTGCTCCTAGTAGCGATGCCCTTTGTTACTAGTAGCAAGAATGCTCCTAGGATCGCCCTTGATGATCTGATCATTCTTCAACACCTTCCAAGTTCGCCTGTGGTTGCACCCACCCAAACCACACCTTTCGGGGAGCATGGCCACGAGGGCGGAACCAACAAGAATGGACCTATATAGTTAAAGTGAGATTCTGAGATGATGTTTCTCTTTGGTCACTGAGGGTTCTCAACACTCACAGAACAACTGATTAAAAAGGGCATCATTCTTTTAATCAGCTTCATCACTGGGATCATTGTTGGCGGCTGGTTTTATCGCTTTCATCAGGATGCCCTCTTTTACACAAACAACAGGACGGAAATTACAGTAAACACTATTCTTGATCTGGGACTGCGAATAGTTTCACAATGCCTGCAATGCACTTCCAAGCTCGCAAGAATCTAGACAACTAAGCACTTGAGAAGGTGTGACGAGTGAGAGCACTTTGGTGGTCGTCCGATGAGCCAAAGAACCAAGAGATAAGGGCTGTATCTTCTGGTTTGCACGTACATCTGGGTGTCTGTTGGACTACAAAGAGCGAGGTAATCAATATCTACCTCCGTCTTAGTTACTTGACCATGCATGTCACATGTTTACACTCAACATCTTGCGTGAAGCAAATTTGCTTTGGATGGTCAATGCAACACACATTTTAAGGCCATGACCATCTGGAGGAGTGCCTTCGAGGGCATGTGCTGCATCTGTCGAACCTGAGATGTGGCGATGTGGACCTCGAGACCAACCTGATATTATACTAGAACAACAAACTATCGTAGCTTCTTTGGTCAACTCCAACGATTCCATCTCCGAGGCAAATTTCTATGGATTCCCAACATCACCTATCCGTTCAGTTCCGGTCGAGATGCATAAAGAATGGCTGTCCGGGAGTTGGCCGGAACATGGCCCTTTGAGGCTGTGAGGTACTCGGCCGAGGACTTCTGGCCTTTGAAGAAGTCCTGTGTGGCTGCGAGGTGACGAATCGCTGGTCGCTGCCCAAATGGCTCAAAGTTTGAACCAGTGTGGCTGGATTTGTCAGGGTGAAAGACATAAGCGTTTCAGTTCATAGTTCAAGGACTGGAAAAGATCGACCAAGAGAACTGGGGACCGCTTGGAACCCTCCAAGACCCTGGGATCATCGACTCCAGATTAGAGAGCTGCAACCGCCGTGAGTGCATTGAAATGAATGTCAAAGGGTCGGTCTTCCGAATCACAGCAGCTCTTCTACATCCAACATCTCCCGTTTCCAACATGCTCCACAGTGCTCCCCCCCCAAAAAGGGGGTCACCGTCTCTCGCAACTCAGTCAAGAGTGACTTGGCACCTGCGCGCCCATGAGCATAATGGTCACCGCTTGTGGGGGCCATGGTATCTTTACGCCGGGCAGGTTCATCGCACAGCCTGGCCGGTGAGGTGGTAAGTGTTGCCGACTTGGGACTGGATGGAGTCAATAGTGATTTCCAAATAGGATTAGGATGTTTGAGAGAAAAAAAGCTTGCCTATCAAAGCGCTCAAAAGTATTATTTGACCCAAACCACTCTTTCCGCTCGAGGAAGCGGCTGGGCCTCCGTTGATCACCACCGCAGGAGGCACTTGGTTCCCCAACCTCCTGGGCAACAAGCTACGGGCGCTGCAATCCCCTATGCGATGGTGGGCGGGGCAGCATCAGCAGCATGTCTAAAAAAATATCATAAATGTTATCAATGAGCTGGAAGGCTACCTTAAATGCTCTCAGGATAAAACTATGGCTCGAACAATCCTTTACCATCCTGATGTCTATGTCTCCGCTGCAATGACTCCACGCACCCCTGTGTAAGGACCAGCATCCTATTGACAAACCAAAGCATGTGGTTGTCCATGCCATTCGCGACATTTGTGGTTTGGAGCGCACACTTTAAGAATATCGTTTGCCATGTGCCGCCCCACCCTTGCAACTAACATCTGTTGCCCAAAGAAGAAACAACGTAGAAAGGACAACTATATTAGGCCATAACCCTGTGGTGTCTAGTTGTTTGCAATTACTTTTTGGCCCAGAACCATCTTAGTGTCTTTATCTACCTCCTGTCCACGCATGGTCAGCCAAGTCTCTGCCAAAACCGTGGCAGCACCACTTGACCTGGTGACGCCAGCGAGGTGACATGACGTGCGGAAACCTTTGTTGACTGCTGCAATTAACAGGCCATGCTGCCCATGTAAATGTTCCAAAGGACAAATGAGGCACTCATTTTTCAATCTATCTCACCTAGGATGACTACATATTTTGGGCCAATCCATTTGGTTTCCTCTCTTTCTAGGTCGCGCATATTATATATAGAGTTGAAAGTTTGAATGTATTCTCAGCCAGGACCATCAAAACTACAGTCCAAGTACGCCATGAGCCCAGGCTTTACATCGTGCTAAACTACTTTGCCTTTTGCAAATGGTGTGGAGATCAAAGGGCTTTGTTGGAAACATTTGGAAACTGTTAGTAAGGGACAAATGTAGAATTGTTCATAAATTTCCAGTTCTGGTGCCCGCTGACCCTTGCCTCCCCTCGATCCCAGCACGAGTACATCACCCATGGGCTTTGCCAACAACTCCTGACATGGCCGCTCGACAATTGGGTGGAGGAGTAGAGTATATAATGCACAACACCCAGAAGTGCAAGTCAGGCCAAAGGACCAATCGTACCCATGACCCGCACACTTAGATATAAAGCTCAACGGGTCGAGCATTCATTCAGTGGCTGAATCCGGATGCACTAGCGCTTTCCATTACTGAAAGGTAGACCTTGGCTTGCAGGAACAGCAAGGCGGTTCGTCGGCTGAGAAGAATGTTTGAACAAAGGCTCACTAGCGCTTTACAAGGAAATTAGGGTAACAGCTTGTGAACATCACAACCGGAAAGAGAAATGATGTGGTCACCAGCTGCGGCTGACTATGCGCCAAGGTGCCCCACTGCAGGACGTCCAAACTTTCACGGTCTTCGTTGGCTCTGGCGTGAAAGTGGACCCAGAGCTCCCTACTTGTAGTTCAAAAGTTAACCCTTCGAGACAGGGTGTGACACACACACACACACAAACCACGTGCGGGTGATGCAATGAGATGCAATCAGTTGCTTGACCCATCAATCAAATGGTCACCAACACAAAACAGAAACACCACCACCGAACAATTGGGCCCTAACCGAAAGCTAAGGGAAGGGTCTACAGGATATTCTTTGACTGTAGGCTGAGGTTACAGTAATAGACATTGATATTGGGGACATCTTCATATCTCGTTGCAACAAATGCCAGTCCATGTTGTCAGTCTCGCTTCAAACACAAGAACTCGTTATATAAACCACTCTTCACCTGTGGGATCTGCACTAGTCAGCTGGACAAACAGGCCACAACCCACTACGAGACAGCCACAACCCGCCATACCATCCTTCACTAGGATCGTTTATTCGACTGGTTTGCCATGTCAACAATGGCATGTTGACAATGTTCTCCAAAACAACCATCACAACCGTCCATCAAAACCAGAGCCACTCATCAACCATAACCAGACACCAACAAAAAAAAGGGGGTCAGTGGCTCAGCTGTTAAACCACTCCATGTGACCAGCAGCTATTTGAACCATATTCAACTCCCATCAGTTGCCCTCCCTTGCTCCGTTGCACGGTGTTGCGGATGGCACCGCCTGCGCGAAGGTCTCCAGGTTCGGTGGCGCCTTGCCGTTCTGCCAGCTGGGCGGGTAGCGATCGTACGCAGCTCCGCGCGAGCCGCACAGCTCGACCTGGAGAAAGGCGGCTTCCAAAACGTGTTCCAACAGGTCACAGGATTGGTGGGAAACAAACATGTGTATAATTTGATAGAAGTTGATAGGTGAATTTGCAAAATCAAGGAGGGTCTCGTGGTATTCAAGTACTCATTCAATGAATGCAGGTCTCTAATTACTATTCATTGTGATGTGCATTGATCCGTTCAGCTGTGCTGTTGTACCTTGTGTGTGTCTGATGTTCAACCCCTTAACCTTTGATGGGTTGTTCCAAACATGCGAACATCCACATGCGAACATCCACACAAACAAAATATACTATACCGACTATCTCGGGCTGATGGGTCATGACTTCTTATAATACGATTCTAAACAGCGGCCCTCACCTCATACTTCCGACACAGAACTCCCCTACTATAGAACCCCAGCATTTGCCCCTGTCAGCATACGGCCTTGATCTGCTCATCTTCACCTCGGAAAAGTCTCGGTCACGTGTGGACCGACTTACAGACTTATTTAGCAAACAACGAGGGTAGGAGACTGAGAATTTGTCTTTCATGGTCTTTGGGAAGGAACTTCCTTTGCCTATCTTCCTCACCTTACTAGTTTCACTGGTTAAAGCCAACACATTGCGTCAGCATGTCCACTAAGAAACATGACGACATTCCATTCCTGGAACATTCCCCACCATTTCAAGGGTGACATCGGATAACTGCAGGTCACGAGTGTTCTCTGGCTCCAACCCTGACGTCTCCCAGCAATACTGCGACCCAAGAGGCCCAACTCCTTGTAGACATCGCTGTTGAGCCCGGTGCCTGCGCCTGGCGCCACCACCATGACCTTGAAAGATGCCGGGAATGGGAGGAAGACTTCATGGTCAATAGACTCAACGAGACGAAGACCTATTGGTTTGGGGTATCTCTCTCGTCTACTAAACTTACTAGACACCCTAAATTAAGGAAAGTCTTCATGGTCAGAGAAGGGATCCACAAATCCTTTTTGAGAAAGTAGGCACGGACACTCCGACACCCAAAAGGCACTCCGACGGTTCTTCTCAATTGGTATGTAGATCCCCAGGGCCAAATAAAGGGGATGTTTGTAGACTTGGAGTTGGGATGTTTAACGACGTGTTTGTTATTTTTGTTTGCAAATGGTGACCCACTCGAATGGATATTCCGGTATTCCTTCAGTATCAGTGATAAAGTTATGCAGTGAGCGGCAACAGGTTGCCATTGTGATGATTGCATTGGGTGTGTCAAGGAGCTGTCAAGAAGAGAGGAGGACCAGGCCAAAACATCTTCCTTCCTCCAAGCGGCATGTAGCGCCAGCTTCAATGAGCAAACGCTCTCGGGCTTCACGTAGCGCAAGCCCGCAGAGACACGGACACGCAAAGAACCTCCCAGTTTGATGATGCCCGGTTGAGCCTCACCATCTACTACTGAAGAAAGCACAATTAAACAACAAAAAAAAAACGGTGTTTTAAGGTTTCTTTCTTCAACACAGGAGGGCCTCACTCGAAAGACACTGAACAGTGACACACGTGAAACATTAGCTCAGCCTATTGCTGAATGATGAAAGGCTCTTTGAGAGAGCCGTCCGGAATACTCAACTTCAGCCCTTTCATCAACATCATTCAACATCACGACATGTTCAAGCAAAAACCTGGGATCATTATGATGTTGTTGGGTGAAACGTTCAATTGTTCCAATCCGCAAAACGAACACTGTCCCCCAGCCCTGGCCTTTTGGCATCACGAGGCCTCCCGCGGGGGGAGAAGCTCTCAGTGAGGACATCCTCGCGAGTCTCGATTCTGAGTCAGGGACCGCCGCCACAAAACCCTTGGTAAGTTCGGGACTAGCGGCTGGATTGACCCAGGTGACCAGCTGAAACTCACAGTGTGCCTTCAGCAGGGTCCTTTGTACGGTTTCTTGAAGGTCGGATGTGGGCTTTGACCTAGTTATGGATAATGTTCTGCTGTCCTACCCAATCTACATATATTTACAGTGAATATCATGCCATAGAGCTAGGTAGGCCCGGGAATAGGCCTAGGCATCCCCTACCCTATAGGCCCCATAACTGTTTTCATCTGTTTTCATCTGTTTTCTAGGGGTACCCTAGCAAATGTACACGCCTGTATGTGGGACATCTGTATTGAATTTGGGAAACGTCTCATGTTGCCTCCCTGTCTCAACGATATCTTCCAGCGAGCTTAATTGCTGGAGCTTGGCAGTTGCTCACAGCAGAGGTTCCATAATCGTTGGACGACAATGTCCACCAACATCCAAACACAATTTAAAGATGGTGCTATGAAGCATCATAAGCATCCGAATTGTAAAGAACTGTACTGTACATCATGGTCTAGCAGTGTCGCGATTCTTCTGGACTTAGGCATGTCTTTCCAAATGCGACTGCCAGAGTGCTGGCCACAGGAATATACCAGGACCATGGGGAAAGCAAAGGGTCCCTACACACGTCCTCCTCCCCCAAAACCGGTGATGTTCGTAGCTCCTCTACGGTGCCTTCCAGCCACTTCTGGGTGGAAGTGCTCCAGGTCTGTCCAGCGTTGTCGCCAAAGACCGATGATCAATGCAGTGCAATCATGTGCAATCCATCCCCGAACTAGAAGTCCATTGATGTGAATTGGATTCAATCGGGGTACTGTATATCCTGTTGTCTCACACCAGCACTGCTTCCATATATTACAGTGGCTTCCAAAATCTGTGTATGAACCGTCAGTGGATCTTAGACACTGTACCTGCATTGCGCTGGTTGAAAATATTTCATAAAAGACACCTTGCCAAATGAGAGACCCCCCGTGGCCTATCCCAACGCAACCTCGAGCATCGGACTCTTTGATATTCCTCTCTTCTCTCATTTCTTCTCGTGGGCACAACAGTCTACTATGGGAGGTTTACCGAGCATGCTTGGTTGTAACTAACAATCACATGCTAGTCCAATCCAATCAATTACCTGTTGACTGCAGTGGCTACAATTCACAAGTAAACTTCAATGTCACACACACACACACACATTGCAACCTTGTGGCAAACACTCAATCTTCAACCTCTGATGTGTATGTTCACTCATTGGAGGTTTGGAAGTCACAAAGCCTACTGGGGAGACCCTCCGCAGGAGACGATTTCTGCCCGACAACTTTGGCACCTGGACCTTGTCGCCTTTGTGCGGCATCCGCACAAGGCCAACTGCGCGAGCTGAACCCCACGACAGAAACATGGTGAGGTGAGGGCAAGAAACGGGATGCTTCACCAACTGCCCCCCAAAAGCATTCCTTTTAGGTCCGGTTCCCGAAGTATCCTTCCTTTGCATCTTGTCATCTCACCACCGGACCTAGTGACTTGACCCAACATATTATATATGGTGAAATAAATATGCGGATATGTATATCATAAATTATATATATATAATATATTATATTTATGTATTCCTGATAAATGATGTTTAACGCATGATGACGTACCTGAGTTGGGCAATGCAACATGGATGGCACCAGCCTCCTTCAGAAGAATGTCATAACCGCATCAAAGGCCAATCATGCATGGTGTAGTCAGTTCGCTGTGTTGCGTCACCCGCTACAGGCAAGTGTTCAAGGTGCTCAGTTAACCTCGAAGCTTGGATGGGTTTCCTTTGAACACAAATCTTTGGAATCATCAATCCTGTAAATAAACAAACTCTGAGAACATGTCCAAGAAAACTGACACCTTCGTCTTTCGTGTTGAAAACTCCGCACCTGCCGCTAGGGGGGGGCACTTTGGAGAACCTTTTGAGGAAAGAAGCAACCTCCAGCCCCTGCTGGCCGTGAAAGTGAAAACCCGAACGGAGACAAATCGATCCCGCTTTTGCCTGGTCCGATGGCCGGGGAACCCAGAGTGTTCATCACTTGGGGCGCCATGGCGATCGAACCAACGACTAGACACGCGAGTTGGATCAAAAGTCAATCAAAACGACTAGCCGCTTTGCAGACTTGATCTTAGAGTCAAACAAAACACTTTAGATTGCCCCAACTTTGATGTACCTCAATCACTAGATATCTGGGGCATTGAGTTGGACCATCTTTAGTTCGTCTAATTTGTCTTATCTCTTGACCTTCAAGTGGCGCAACCTCAACATACATCCTAGAATGATAGCCGTAGAATTCTATTGCTGCCTTACTCCCAAAATTAGTCCTGAATAGAGTTTTGTTCGATGTTTGGTTTAGGGAACTATCAGTATCAGGTTTGATCTATGTAGTTGTCATCTCTGGGTGCGGCAACCCGGGGTGTAGATTCTAGTGATCTCATGCAACCTGGCTGCCCGCCATCTGGGGTCTGAGGAAGAACGCAACTCAGAAGACACACGACATCCAATGTGAGCAAAATTTGAAGTCTATGACATCGCTGTTCCCCCGTGTTCCTGCAATTTGGGGGGCCAAATATCGACCAGCGATGTACAGTATAATATCCCATCGACTTGTACTATCTCTGAGGCCCCGAACGGTGTTTTTTGGGGGGAGTCGCATAGGGCCGTTCAGTGGGCACCAGCGCCAGAAATCAAGCCATGTTGCATTTGCTGGTTTGCTCTCCCCCCTAGAGGGAACATAGCCCCTTCTCACTGCATCATGAAGTTCATGTTTCATTTCATTTCACGCATGAAGTCGTTTCTGACGAAGCTCGCATCATTAATAATTCAAAGGAAAACCAATCAGCAAATGTCTTTTTCGCATCTGCACTGCTCGGAGCTTGCGCCGGTCGGTGCTCCAACCGGCACCCTGAGTGGATGGTGGAAAGATCCGGAGACCAAGGCATCCATGTGGGGGCAAGGGAATGCAGAAGTCCAAGATGAGGAACACTAAGTCATAGGAGCACGCAGGAGGCTTTGTGGGACACCCTGAAGAGGAAATGGTGTCATTATAGTAATAAGGGTAATAATGGTATGGAGCAAAATTGGCTCCAAAACGGATCAGGTGGACGAGAAGGACAAGGTCCTCCGACTGAGACAGCCCAAGTAGCTGGACGGTGCGAGCAAAATGGTCCTGGAGAAACGTGATGGCCATGCTAGTAGCTTCTTGTTACATGCTAGTAGCT